CTGTCCCGCGACTTCACCCTGCACTCTTCAACCAATGATCCTCACTCCAGCCTACTGGAGAACCCTTTAAAAACCCGAACCCCAAACTCTTCGTGGAGATGGATTTCAGGATTCTTCCCATCTCCTCCTTTGGTGACCCTACGATTAAATTTCTTTCTCTGATGCAACCTGGTGGTGTCTCAGCGTACTGACTTGCTGTGTGCACTGGGCAACAAATCTATTATGGTTACAATAGTTCTTAAGAATTATCTGAACTACTTATCTACACTTACTGACTAGATATGGAGGAAGGGCTGAAGACAATGCCAGTGTTTCCACACAGGGTCCCAAGAGAGCAGTGATACAGACATCCAGAATGACCCTAGAATCCAGCTGCCAACTCAAAACCCTCCAATGGCTTTCCACCATGACACCCTCCCCTGGCCCATCACATTCCAGCCAGTGACCTCCTTTCAGCATCAGGACACACAGATCACACTCCTGCCCCAGCTGCTCTGGATGCGCTGTTCCCCTTGCCTGGAACATTCTCCCTAGACACTAGCATGGCTCCTGTCTCATATTAAGAGCTCTGCTGAAGTGCCACTGCCTCAGAGGCCTTCCCTGGCCACCCCACATAAAGTACTCCTCATCTCCCCCAAACCCCTTAGCCTGGTTTAGTTTTCCTCACAGCACGCAAGATTTCCTGACATTATATATTTATCTGCTTACTGTCTCCCTGTGATATAAATACCATACTTCCTGGCACAGAGCTCCTAAGACCCTTGGAATTTCTCAAGTGATGGGTATCTTTTGTTATTGGTTACAAGCCCCTTTCCACCACACCCGAGTTGACGCTAATGTGGTGACTCATGATGGACCCCTAGATAGCATCAGGATGGGGGATGCGCTGGTCACCAGAAAGACCAAGCAGTTGACCACATGGTTGGTGCTTTCAGCCGCTCAGAGGTGAGAAGGGAGACTGGAAATTAAGCCTATCACCAACTGCCACAGATTTAATCAGTCATGTCTATGTAATGAAACCTCCATAAAAACCCCTACATGATGGGGTTTGGAAAGCTCTGGGTTGCTGAACACATCAGTGTGCGGGGAGGGCATGGAAGTTCTGTGCCTCTTCCCCATGCCTTACCCTGTGCACCTCTTCATTGGCTGTGACTGAGTTTCACCCTTTATAATACACTGTTAATTGTAAACATAGCACTTTCCTGGGTTCTGGGAGTCCTTCTGGCAAATTATCTAACTCCAGAACCCCAGAATTTGTAGTTAGCGGGGCATAAATGTGGATAGCCCACAGCTGCCATCTGAAGCAGGGGACCTAGTCCTTAACTTGTGGGGTCTGTGCTAACTCTGGGAGTTAGTGTCATGACTGAACTGAATTGTTGGGACACTCAGCTGGTTTCTGGAACTGCAGAATTGGTATGGAAAAAAACTATGTATTTGGTGTCAGAAGAAACCACACACTCCCTTGCTGGAATGTATGTGCAGGACAGCAGCAGCCTGTCAGTTTCTCACCACAGCACCACCAGTACCCAGAAGAGTCTGTGGCCAACAGGAGACACTCAATATGGGATTGCTGAGTGAATGTATCCGTGAATGAATGAATGAATGAATAATGCAATACACATAAAGAGGAAGAGAAACTTTTGCTTGGTTGTCTGATGGTTTGGGCAGGGAGAAGGAAGAAAGTCAATTAAGCTCAGTTTCAGGCTAACTTTTTTTTTTTTT